TTTGCACAAGGTAATCATCTCATCCACCCCGGTTTCCTACTCTTCTTAGGTAAGACAGAGTTTTTGGTTTTTTTTGGTATATTCCTCCGGCTGAGAACAGTCTCTAAGCACATGTGAAGTCGGCAACTTCACCTTCCCTGTTCCCCTCCATCTTGTTTGCGCTCTAGCGCTCGATGTTGGCTAGGAGTGGTGGCCCCTCAATTACTTTTTGGTCTACTAACATGTTCTATATTTGTTTATCTTTTCCAAGGATACTTTTTATTGATGCCGTCTGAGCACTAACAGCTTTGTAGCTATTATACTTAGGCTGCACTTGTACGAATATGCAGATCGAAAACCGTTATGAGTCGGTTCTGGCCAGCCGCTACTGTAGACGAAGCCCACTTCTCGAGCTCTTTTCTGAAAGGAATAAGGTGGGTATTTTACACTCGTCTGTTTTTTATTTTTTTCATCTCAATTGTTGTAGACTGTTCTGTGGAGACAGTTGTGGATTTGGCTAGCTGAAGCTGAACTAGAATTAGGCCTCACTCAGGTATTTTGATGGAGCTACTATGATTACTTATCGTGGTCAGCATTGCAAAAGGTTCTCCGAGTTCTACTTCCATAGATGAAACCTATAGATCCTTCCTCGATTTGTCAACTCTCTTCTGAAATGTATTCGAAGTTTAAATTCAGGTCACCCCGGATGCTATTGAAGAGATGAAAGAACAGCGTGATAATATTGACTGGAATAAAATCCGCGAAGAAGAGCGCCGTTTGAAGCATGACGTTATGGCTCATAATCATGCTTTTGGAGCTGTGAGTGAGAATTTTCTTTTCATATGAGAACGTGATCTGCTAAATGAGCCCTTTGCTGGATTTTTCGTTCTGATCTTTTATTAGAGAGGGCCTGTTGAGGGGATTCGAAGTAAGAAGAAAAGTTTCTGGGGTTCTTTGTTTTTAACGGAATGGAAATATTCTTTTTTGAAAGCGTCATTAGTACCATGACTTCCAACAGTATAGCATATCTTACTCTAAAAAAAGATGTGGGTTACTCTATAACGGTGAGATAAACATTGCCAATATTCTGGGGGATATGAAAGAACACTGTTTTAGTCATCTTCAGGTATGTCCCAAAGCTGCAGGAGTAATCCACCTTGGTGCAACTTCTTGTTATGTCCAAGATAATGCCGATCTGATCGTTATCAAAGAAGCTGTTGGACATCTTCTTGCAAGGTATTTACAC